GCCGGGTAACGTGTCCCAGCGAGCGACAGAGGCTGCGGCCGCGGGCAGGTGAGCGGCAGCCCCGGCCCGAGCAGGGCGCTGTCCGGGCGGGGCCGGCGGTGGTGGGAAGGAGCTGGGCAGGGGGCTGTGACTGGGCGGGGTCAGGTCTGGGGGGAGGGGTGGTAGCCAGGACCGGCCTTAGGCCAATTCCCCCGAATCGGGCCCCGCGCCCAGTGGTAAGTGGCCGAGAATCCCTTCCCTGGCTAGAGGCGCCTTTTTCATTCTTACTCACCCGGCAGCGCGCCGGGGCTTTGGCGGCACTTTGGCGGCGGGTCCTTCAGTGCCGCCGAAGACCCGGAGCGAGTGAAGGACCCGCCAAAGACTAGGAGCGCGGCCCGGTGAGTACAAGCCCCACGGGTTCTTTTACGTGTTTTTTTTTAGTCATCCCTGCCAGGGCCCCGTGGAAACTGTTCAAATCAGGCCCTGCACTTCCTAAAGCCGGCCCTGGTGGTAGCAGGGGCAGCGTTGCGGGGGGTGGGGGGAGGTGCTGCTGCTGCTTTGGGTTTCCTCGGTGCTGTCATGTTTTCTGGTTCCGCAGTTTCCCAGCGGTGCGGCCGTGGTGCGGCCCCTCCCCTCTACTTGCCCAGGCTGGTGGTGGGAGGGTGGAGGCTGGTGGAGAATATGGTTCTAATGTCTGAGCTCAGCCCCATCTGTGTTTGCTCAGCGAGATGATCCAGTGCCTTCACACCCCACCCCATGTGCTTCTTTGCGTCTCTGGAATCCCCATCACATGGCAGTGGAAGAGCTGGGTGATGTGATGCTGCTGCACTGGAAGCTTTTTATTCCTGAACAGAACTGAGGATCCTCCCATTATCCGGTCTATTGCAAAAATACACATTCTGGAGAAGTGCTAGTCCCAGAGTGCTCACACAAACACATCCCACTATCAAGCGGTACCAAAACATCCCAGTATCAAGGATGGTACAAAATCTTTACCCAAGGATAACAGGAACACACTGACCCCTCCTAAAAAATGAGGTCAGAATAACAGTACGTAATATAGATGTTTTGATCAAACCAACATGTACAAGGTGATAGGTAATAATTAGCAATGTCAGGGGGCAGTACTAACTTGTTTGTATCGGGGTATAAAATGTATTTCAGAGGGAGTATCTTTGTCTAGTCTTAGAGAGGAATGGAAAGTCCTGCTGTTCACTGAGCTGGTCCATTGCTACGGGCATACATGTATTAGTGGTCTGGTAGAGTCTGTGGGATACTAGTACCATGCTTTGTTGACAATAAACTTAGCTGGATGCCTTCGTCCCTTAACGTATCTAGTGGTCATTGGGTGGTTTGCTCAAGGTCTGCCGTGCCAGCTGTCTGCACAGGGCTGGGGCGGCACACATAGGGAACACACACACGCAGCCAAACATCTATCAACATCTAACCACACCCTTATAGTTCCCAAAAGCTACTGTCTCTATCTCAAGAGCAGCTTCCTGGGGTGCTGATTCTCTCCCCTGGTGTGATCACTAAACTGTCTCCTCCTCCGTTTGTCAGCTTGATGGCTTTGTTTACTGTATATGTAAATATACTTTCATTGTCCTCTGCCTGTGCTCATACAGGTAAATGTATGTTCCTTTGTCTAGAGCAGGCTGAGTTTATGCACTGCCTCCCAAGCACATTTTAATAACATATTTCTAGCATACATATATAATTCTTTGTACACAAACCATTCATGCATCATGCAATGATGTTCGGGACCAGCATGTTACCAGTGTACATGTGATACTGTACACAATACCTTTTAGATACATATTATGACAACAGTGTGTTGGGGATTGTGATGGGTTCAGTCACAGAGACCCCCTTGGGACTGTCACCTGATGGGCTGAATTTACCTCTGAGCCTTTTTTCCCTGCTACCTTGGGACTCCAAAACCCTGTCTTATTGAGCCAGACACACTAGCTTCCTGCAGCACAGACACAGGTCTGGTCCACGCCCCCAAAGCTGCAGACTTTAACCAAAAACTGCTCAGCAGGTCACCTATTTCCAGCACCCAGACACCCAGTTCCCAATGGGATCCAAACCCCAAATAAATCTGTTTTACTCTGTATAAAGCTTATACAGGGTAAACTCATAAATTGTCCACCCTCTATCACACTGCTAGAGAGAGATGCACAGCTGTTTGCTTCTCCAGGTATTAATCACTTACTCTGGGTTTATCAATAAACAAAAGTGATTTTATTAAGTACAAAAACTAGGATTTAAGTGGTTCCAAGTAATAACAGACAGAACAAAGTAAGTTACCAAGCAAAATAGAACAAAACACATAAGTCTACGTCTAATACATTAAGAAACCGATTATAGGTAAATCTCACCCTCAGAGATGTTCCAAAAAGCTTCTTTCACAGACTAGACTCCTTCCTAGTCTGGGCCCTATCCGTTCCCTGGTACAGTCCTTGTTAGTTCCAGCAGGCATCTTAGATTAAAAGCAGGGGCTTTCTCATGACTAGGACCCTCCTTGTCCTGCTCCACCCCCTTTTATAGCTTTGGCACACGGTGGGAATCCTTTGTCTCTCTGGGTCCCCACCCCTCCTTCTAAATGGAAAAGCACCAGGTTTAAGATGGATTCCAGTATCAGGTGACATGGTCACATATCACTGTAAGACCTCATTTTTCTTTACCCACGGGCTGGCCTACACATACACAGGCAGACTTGCAGGTAAACAGAGCCATTTACAGTCAATTGTCCTAGTCAATGGGAGCCATCAAGATTCTAAACCACCATTAATGGCCCAAATAGGACCTCAGAGTTCTACTTAATATTTCTAGTTTCAGTTACAAGAATGATACATTCATACAAATAGGATGAATATATCCAGTAGGTTATAACTTTTGTAATGATACCTTACAAGAGAGCTTATGCATAATGCATATTCCAGTTACATCATATTCACATTCAGTGCAACGTCACAGGGGTAATGAGTGTGTCAGACCTGATGTGAGTTACAGTATGGTGATCCCTCTGCCAGTTGGCATTGAGGGGCTCCCAGGGTCACAGTCACCAAACTGTCCCAATCAGTCCCTAGAGTGGGTGCATATGAAGACAACCCAGGATATAAGTGAGAAATTATGACCACGTCCCATGCCGTTAGTTTATGGCAATCTAGATGATTCTTGTTTTTAACATTTCTCACTGTGCTCAATTCTTCTGTTTTTGCAGAGTATTCAGACATACAGTATTGCCATTTTACTGCTATTCGTTAATGTCTGGATGGTTGCAAAGATGGTGACTGCAGATGACAGCCAGTGGGATGAAACCATCTGTGACATGGCTGTTTGCCAACACCCACAGTGCTGGGACACTATAAGGAGGATTGAACAGGGACATCCTAGGGTCCGTTTAAGAAACTTTGACTCACTCTGCAGGGCTTCTTCTTTGGAAAGCAAAGGTAAAACCAGTGACCAAGGCCCTGTCTTTTCTAGGAGGAAAAAGATCTATTCTGAACTCGAGTTAGCCAACTTCAGGGACAGTCCTAGTGCAGTCAAGGCAGTTTGTAGTTTTCACACAAGTTAGGTCAAGTTAGACTATTCATCATTTTTTTAAAGCTAGAAAAGATCATCTACTGTGTCCTCCTGCACAACACTTGCCAAAAAATTTCACCGTCATCCTTATGTCGAACCCAGTAACTTGTGTTTGACTAAAGAATATTTTCGAGAAAGGCATTTAAGTCGTGATTTGAAGACATCAAGATACAGAGATAGAATGTTAAATGAATGTGCCTAATTTCTAATTTGAATTTGTCTGATTTAAATTCACAGCCATTGGTTCTTGTTATGCCTTTCTCTGCTAGATTAAATAATCCTTTAGTACAGAGGTCCCCAAACTGTGGGGCATGCCCCCCAAGGGGTGTGTGGAGGAACATTAGGGGGGCCCCTAGGGTGAATACAGATGGGGGCGGGCACGGCTATTAAAAGTTTGAGGACCACTGCTTTAGTACCTGGTATTTTCTGTCTATGAAGGTACTTATACACTGTAATCAAGTCACCTCTCAATCTTCTTTTTGGTAAACTAAACAGATTGAGCTCATTAAGTTTCTCACTGCAAGGCATTTTTTCCAGCTCTCAGATTCTTTTTGTGGCTCTTTTCTGCACACCAGTTTTTCAGCATCCTTTTAAAATTATGGATACCAGAACTTGACACAGTGTTCCAGTATTGGTGTCCCCAGTGCTGTATACAGAGGTAAAATCACCTCCCTACTCCTACTCCCCTGTTTATTCATCTGAGGATCACATTAGCTCTTTTTGCCATAGCATTGCACTGGGTGGTTATGTTGATTTTTTTTGTCCACACTGACCCCTAAATCCTTTTCAGAGTCATTCTTTTTCAGAATCACTCCTATCCAGGACACCCACAGTTCTGTAGATACGGCCTGCATTCTTCTTACATGTATGACTTTGCATTTGACTGTGTTAAAATATAC